AAAGGTAGGGAATTATCTTTCTCCAGCGTAGCCCATCGTACTCTCATCTTTTTATAGGTGTTTGCACCTTACGCTTGTGGGTCGGGTATACCAGAAATCAAATGCATCTTGTCTGGTTTCGTTATCCGCGGATATCTCGGAAAATGGACTTTCATCATCAAGTCCGTCGGTTTGATCCTGTCATCTGCATCCGGTTCGTTTTTCTTTCTTTGTTGCTTTCCTTCTTGTTTTTAGCCTTGCTAGCCTTTTTATTTTTGTATCCAGGTTTGTCACTGGGTAAGGAGGGTCCAATGGTCCATCTTGGCTGTTGTATCGGAAATATATTTTCCTACTTGTTTCCCAAATATGGGATGAATGAAGCAAAGAAACGAGAAATTCTCAGTGCATCCGCAGCCGCAGGTGTAAGTGTGGCTTTTGGAGCTCCCATCGGAGGTGTACTGTTCAGGTTGGTGGCCAGTTTTTTCCGTCTGCTCCCTTTAGTAGTTTGTCTAATTTTTCCCTTTTCTAGCTTGGAAGAAGCTTCGTACTATTTTCCCCTGAAGACCATGTGGCGATCGTTCTTCTGTGCTTTGATTGCAGGAATCATTTTGCGCATCGTAAATCCCTTTGGAAGTGATCAAGTTTGTAATTAATCACATTGACTTCTTTTCTTTCGCACCTCATAAACCATGATTATAGACTTCGCTGTTCCATGTGGATTACATGATGAAATGGACGTTTGTCGAACTTATCCCATTTGCTGGTCTAGGGCTGTTCGGTGGCATTCTCGGAAGCATGTTCATCTTTGGAAACATCAGGTTTGTGACTCTGATTATTGCCTTTTTATGATTTAAACTTTCTTCTTTCTTTCCAAGACCGTATTGTTAACTCTGTAGTAGTTTAATCTCGGGCATTTTTTCCAACATTGATCTTTTGAGCTGGCAACTTCTATGTTGGTTGTGTTGTAGGTGGTCTCGATTTCGAAAGACTTCAAAAACTTTGGGTGGCAATCCTATCTACGAAGTTATTGTTGTGACTTTTCTCACGGCTTCCATCTCCTATTTCAACCCTTACATGAGAAAGAGTGCTTCGAGTATGATCAAGCAGGTACTGAGTATGATTTCTTGTTGATTTTTTACTTCTGTAACTTTTCTTATTTTGTTCTAGCTTTTCGATAGATGTGGCCCAGAAGATTACATGAGTAACTTGTGCGACTATCAGAATAAAACATTTAGTAGTAACAAAGTCGATGATAACTACCACACTGGAGTGTTTGGAGATGGCGTTCATGTGGGATATTTTTAATTTTTTTTGCACAGTTTCATCATCTCAGTTTAGAGCGCATTTTGGCAGCTGATCATGGCTTTGATCTTCAAGTTTATCTTCACAATATTCACTTTTGGTATCAAGGTGAGTAGTCTGCTTGGATTGAAGTCCTACTATATTTTCTTCAATTTCATCTTTTTCTTTTCTTGCTGTAGATTATTTGTAAAATTTAC